TTTTTTACAGCTGTCCACAGGTCCATTAAATGCATTGCTACACTCAAAAATAATTTCAGGCTTATCAGTTGTGCAGTTTGGTTATATAATAGGAAAGCAGTAGTTCCTTAAATGAGCGCTGATTCTCATCCAGACATGGGTATTAACTCGGACATGGGCATTAACTATGAACTGGGTTCGAAGGGTGTTCCCCCTACCTGTATCTGTATTAATCAAGATATACGGTAAATCTACATTTAGTTCCAGCAGGATAATAATCCACCTCCTTACTTTAATGTGTGACATTACTATGAAACACACAAGACACAGTTCACATCACAATGGGCTTGAATGATCTGTCTGTGCAAGCACAAATCCAGATTTGGCTACAGGTGAGAGACACCAAAGCCACTTCCCTCAGAAGCAAGTGATGAGGTAGGAATTATTTTTTCATCTCTTTGTGAGGTGATAGGATGCTGGAGCAACCATTTAAAAACCATATGACACACTGCTTCCATTCATCCACAAACATTATGCAACACAGGGGGAAACAATAAGGAGTTTGAAGCAGAAGTTAGGGAGGAGGTCAAACTTTGCCCTCACTCATTCCATGTACCGTGTTATAAATATCATGCTTCTTACTTTGCGTGTGCTCTGCTTTTATTTCATCCAAGACTCTGTCGGCCAAACCGAATCAAGAACCTGCAGATGTTACATTTTTAGATGTTGAGATGTAGATGTTGTATTTTTTCAGAGGTGTTTCAAAGGACAGAGTTATAGCTGTATACAGTATATATTTACTGATAAGAAAAGTAAAGTTGGGCAATTGTTCTAATTTCCCATGCCCTGTATCAGATTTACAGCTTATATTGCTGTTCTTGAACTTCCATCAATCTTCAAACATTATGCAACACAGGGTGAAACAGAATGGAGTTTAAAACAAACGTTGGGGAGGAGGTTAAACCCTAACCTCACTTATTTCACAAACCTACTTAAAAATACCATGGTTCTTGCTTCTTCACATGTGCATTTAGTTTTACTACAGTACCTCTCCCTCCACCCACTTTTCACCCTTGCAGCTGATCTCTGGTTCATCCCTCAGTAAAGGAGTGGGGGGTGTCATCCCCCTCAGCCAGGTGAATTACCGTATTAAATCTCAGTATTCAGATCATTAATCAGGGCTTGATTGAACTATTGAAGAGAACACTTGATGTCAAACAATTTGAGTAAAAGTTCTCACATTTCCTACAGTCAATAACCTTTACAATGATCACTAGGGCCCTGATTTTGACATCCTGGAAACAAAACTAGCCTTGTAAAGCCTTCTGAAGGGAGTGGCTTATACCAGGGTGGGGATTTTGAACAGTAGTAGCACACAGTGCACACAAAATGCGATGAAGTAAGCTTGCCCAAACCACTCACTGGAAAGTGAGGACTTGAAATTTATACAGCTAACTGTGATTCACCAATATACCTAGTAGTAGACCATCTACTACTACAATTTAACACTTAGTAGTTAGGGAAAGAAAAAAATGCCAGTGTTGTGACCATTTCAGGGTACACTGAACTACTAACGATCCTCCATAATCTCATTTTCCAGCTGTGCTAATGAGGCACCATCCCTGCTGCAAGAACATCAAGGGCACGTTTCTCTAGAGCTTGAGCTCTGTCTGTAGGGAATGGAGGCACAGAAACCAGATGTAAAGCATGTATATATTGATGAAATAATCTAAAAAGTGAAAGGGCTGTTTCTATTATTAAGAAACATAGAGTCCTGTGGTAATTTTATTAGGGATTTCATTTATTCAGTTTGATTGTTTTTTTTTGCACATGGGTCTTTAGCTTTCCTGTTTTGTTCATAATGACCAAATTCAACATTTGTAGGTATCAAGACAGAATAAAAAAAAAAACATTTATTATTTAGCGTTTACATTTATCTTGGAGGTGTTCATTATTGTTTTGAAGTAATAACCATATATGCACACAGCACAACTGCAGAGTTTGCAACAGGGACCTGAATTCACATCCTGTAACTTATGAGTCCAAAGACTTACCCACTATGCTATGCCACACCCTCATAGAACCTTATATAAAGTATAATTAGAGAACTGTCTTTGGTGAAATGTTTAATTAAAAAGAAAATGCCTGTAATTTATTTAAAGCAAAAGAAAATTTCTCTAGAGGTTGGTACAGTACATTAACAGAATGTTTTCCTTTACAATCTAATGCAACATACAAAAGTGATCTTTCATGTCACTCCTGGTAGATGTAGATGTTTGGTTTTTTAACATACTTTTACTTTGCAATTTCTATTTATAATATCTAAGTATATATTAATTTGGTAGCTACACTGCCTGGTCAGAAGGAAACTGAAGCCCACAATGCTACTTTGTGGTTAAGGTAAATTGTGTGTTTTATGTATTTTTGATAATGAAGATACATGTATATGAAATACACACACAAGTACACAGAGTCTACTCAAAATGTTGTCTATATCATTTCCTCTTGCTGTTTGCTGCTTCTTTTTCTGACTTTCCACTGTCTTTGAGCTTGAAAAGAGACCTTTGTCCTTGTATTGTTTTTTTTTTGCCATGAGATCAACATCTGATCCTAGACCTCCATTATCATCTGATTATTTCTCTATACAGTACATGTGAATAAGCACAAACCTTCAGGACTGTTGCCAAACTCCAAAATTACAAGTAATTCAACAAATCCTATACAGTGACCTATCTGAAAAAGACAAGGACTTCCTTACATTTCATTAATTAATTAAAGTACTGTAACCTCATCATTTTTTGTTGTCTTGGAAAACACTTGAATGTGTCAAAAATGGACTCATTCCAATTCCTAGCAATTCCTCTTTGCAACAATCACCTCTTTTAATACAAGTATAAGTCTGATATAACCTGCACTACATTCTCACTCTTGATGTATGATTGCCTATGGCATTCTAGAGTATATGAACACACCCTATTTAATTTACTGATTCTGAATGGACTGCCTGACTCATGTATAATCCTAGTACGCTTCTACAAAATATCTTTTATGAACATATGCTGAAACAAAACTATTTAAAACAAGAAAATCATGTTTTTTATTTGATCAAACCATAGTTGAACAGTAAATTAAAAATTGTTTTTTCAAAATACTACAGTATATCCAGCAGTGTGTGTTGATCCATAATTATATTCTGAGAAGAGCAATCACCATAAACCAAAAGGCTAATACAGCTAACACACACAATAACACATTGCAGAAATTAAGAGTACAAAGATCACACTTATTTTAAATATGTGATTCGAAAACACACCGTTTGTTATACAACCTGTAAGTTAATAACAGATCATGAAAACAATATTTAAAATGCACTTACCTAATGAGCTAATTAACTGAACTGTGTCTGGGAGGGTGTGCTGGAGAAGAGGCAGCAGGTTAGTGCTCAGAACTGCTGTTTTCACTCTTTACAGTATCTGGACTTTGCCTTATACCTGAGCTAAAGGTGTCAATTAATTTTCCATATATGGCTGTGCAGAAGCCATCTGCATACAGGTGTGTGTCCTCTATAACAGTGCTGCACTTCTGGTTGGCTAAAGACAGACAGGATTTCTTTCAGTTCATTAGGAAGCAGCAGGTGATGGCAAATAGGATTTGTGCCTTTCACACAGCCCTGAAGTAATATTTTAAAAAAATTGACTGAAGACCTGTGTTTGGATTCAGAACCCTTTTGCACTAAAAGTTTGAGGAGGCTGGAAATGTTGCAATCTGTGAATAGTGAAAGTTGATTCTGCCTGATCATCAAGTCCTGTTATAATCTGGCATTCCAAAGTGAGCAGGCAGATTAACCTTTGACCACAGAGTGTTGGGGGGAGACCCAACAATGCTGAAAATATTATTACTTTTTTTACATATGGTTCAGCATGTTACTGGTGAAAACTAATTTTAGCCAAATAGTTATTTCAAGATAGTAGTCTTGACATGTTACTTAATGTTTAATATGTTAACTAAAATCGTGTTGGTTTCAATATAGGCTTCATTATAATAATGATTGTATTTCACATTCATATACAGTACTTTTATCATAGTAATTAATGTAAATGTTCCATAACCAAACTGGGTTATTTTGACACATTTATTATCTAAAACATTTTATTTGGTAATGTATTTAGTAGAAATCAATTTTGAGAAATTCTGGAGGTGCAGAATTGACAAACACCTTCCCCAATCCACACTTAAAGCAATTTTTCTTGACTGAATTGAATGTCCTACTTAAATATGATTCGTTTTTCATAAACTAATCATCCTATCAATGCATATATCATGCTCAAAGGAAAAAGCAGCCCGGTATTGAAATAATGCTGTAATTTTCTACTCTTAATTAATTTTGTTTAATTAAATTGTTTATACAGTAGATACCTTCTACAAGTGTAAGAAATGGCACTTTGTACCTTCTGGTGTCTTCGCTTTGAAAAAATGGGGACAGAATGCAAAGAAATGAAAATATCAATGTCCAGATTCTGGTTATGGTTTCTTATCTGTAGAATATTAAGGTTTTAATTCAGAATTTCTGATTCTGGAGATCCTCAATCTAGCGTGTTTTCACCCCAAATAGGACTTCAAGTCCTGCTCAATCAATACTAGTCCTTGAGAGCTGATGGGTTTTGTCCCCAATGACTTGTAAATTACTTAATTTACCAAATAACCTGCGATTGATCATAAGCTATTTTTGTTCAAGCCTTTAGAGATCTATGATTTACTGTATGTATTTAATGGAATATATGTAATTTAATGTATGTATTTATCTATGGTCACCTACAAAATCGTGTTAAACTGGAGTGCTCTAAGAGCTGGGTTGGCGATGTCTGATAAAATTGCTTATCAAAATTCTGTATGTGCACGGGCAGGTTTTCCATTCACATTGAAACTGAGAACACGAGTGGGTGATTCAATTTCTCTGACGTGTAAACAGATAATTTGATAAATAAGAGGCCCATAGGTTACATGTTTTCGTGGACCAATAAATGGTGTTTTAAATGAAGGTTCATCTGTAACGATACCAACCAAGGCCTGTTTCAGCTCCACTGCTCTAACTAACAATTCTTGGCAATGTCAGTCCTCAGAAATCTAAACATACCTTAGTGAGCTCCTGTCTGCCTTGAAGTCATCCCTTTGCATATTTCCTCCACCCCATCTCTACCTTTTCACCCTCGGTTTCACTCCTCTTTCTGCATGGGGGTCACAGATTCTTCATCTTACAGCCAGGTGTTTGGTCTTAACACAGCCAAGTGGGATAAGCTAAAATGTCTATAAGTATCTATAAATATCCTTAAATGAACTTTCCTAAATGCATTTTTTTGTTGGTTCTTGTTACTCCTTGTGAAAAGAGGGGTGCCAGTCTGTCTCTGCACCTGAAGGCTTTTTGATGCCAGAAATGTATATATTTCTAAACTTTTTATTTTCAGAATTCTTTGGTAAGATTATAAAAAAGGTTGAGCTGGGTCTCTCCAGACCGGCAAGGTAGTGAGTGACTAATTGACTCACGAATCGCGTGCAACCATTTCTTGAAAGAATCCAGAATCTCAGTATCAGCAATATGGCTGACTAGCTTTGGCTGGTAGTACTGATCTACAGAAGAGCTTTATATGTTGTACGTGCTAATCATTAACCACAGAGATTACAGGAAATTCATCAGGGACATATTTGATGACTGTAAAATTTATTGAGCATAAAATGAGACAATAAATAGATCATTTTGCCTTTGCAGCAAATCCTTGCAGGTTGTATATGCAACAAAAAATAAAAATCATTGTATTTACGTAGTGTTTTTCATTCAGAAGAATTTCCATGTGCTTTATTATAAGAGGGTATTCATTTTATCCACCACTGAAAAGCAGCACCCACCTGGGTGGCATGTGGCAGAAGCTGTTGCACAACTGAATAAAAATAGAACTTTATGGAGTGCAGATTGTGCAAGCCAAGACTGTAGATTAGACAGTACACCAGGGTTAACTCTGCGGTTCTGTGAGGACTTGTTGGGACCTTGCTTTAATGCTTCATCTGAAGGATGTCACCGCTGACAGCAATCTACTGTAAAACCACTTACAACAGTAACCTGGAAGGGTGGTTCAGGACCATATGTAGACGGTCCGGAATCTGGAAGTAAGTGGAGAAGGACAACAGGGAAGAGACTTCCATAGAGGACTCCCATCACAGTAGTGACCAGGCCTGAGTCTTGTTTCGATTTTGAGATATGATAATTAAGTGTACTTTTTACAGCAAATGTTTCAAATTTTAATTTGTCAATTAACACAGTGAGATCTGTTTCCATATTTCAAGTAAACAATATTTACACCCTAGATCCTAAGCTCTTCAGTGAGGGCACATTCTAAGTGAACATTTTTCTTTTAGAATACATTACAGAACATTACATTACTTCAGCTCAAACTGGGAAACAATTAAATAAGTGGTTATGAATTTTTTGGTGCTTTTGGTACTTTCTCCAGGTTTATTTATTTAACAGTATAGAGGCAGCATCTTCTATTGTACCCTGTCAAGGCACTATATGCTTTATGTATACTTCAGAATATCTGTATAATTTTTTGTGTCCTTTGGAGGTTGGAAGCAGCGCACAGTGCTCTCTAAGCAGTGGTTGATTTTGTGAATTATGGAAATTTTGGTGGTGACGTGAGGGATCAGGCATCAGTGACTGCCTAGGACAGGGCATCGATTAAAGTCCTTTGCTTGCTAGTGTGGCTTCTCGTTTAACATTCAAGAATATAAAAGTATAAGAACGTTTACGAACGAAAGGGAGTTATTCAGCCCATCTAGCCCATCTAGCCCATCTGTTTATCGAAAGAAACCAAGCTTCAGCAACATAGCTTGTTCCATAGTCCCATGACCCTTTGAGTAAAGAGGTGTCTCCTGTTGTCAATTTTAAAGGCATTTCCACAGAGTTTTCACTTATATCCTCTGGTTTGTGTTTCATTGTTCATTTTGAATAAGTCTTTTGGTTTATCTTTATCATTGCCTTGTAAATCTAATGTTGTCTTAGTCTTTTCTGTTCAAGACTATAAAGTTGAGTTCTTTCAAACTGTCAGACATTCTTTACAAGCGAGTACAAATCATACATCACAGGTGTACAGCTTGTATTGCTTAAAACGGTGACCTCACATGCTTTCACAGTACAACCCCTGAAGATAAGAAAGTGTCAATCAGCATAATTAATTTACTTGTTTTACTGTATATGTAAAAGAAAATCCCAGTATATCTACTAGAAACAATTATACAATACTGTAACTACTGTATCAAACTTCCAGAAATTCTCTTTCATTATACCTTGGTAATTTTATGACTGTTGCATGCAATTGCAGAAATTACTTATCAGACTGAAGGTTGTAAATGTGTAGCATGTGTCTGAAATGTCAGATTGAAACCAAAAATTAAAGGTAAATAATATGGTCGTATTATGGTGTAAAACTTCTTACTTACCACAGCTGTCAACCACAAAGCCTTTGCTTCAATGCAGACACTATTGCATTTCAGGTAAAAATTAAACCTCTGTAACATTTCACTGGCATATTCTAAAGTTTGGTGTGCCATTGGTCGAGGAAGCATAAATTGATTTCTTTTTTCACAACAACCTATGTCATTTCTTGGATCCATGATGATTGCAGATAATGATGTCAATGAAATGGCTATTAACACCACACATGATCACAGTGTTACGTCACCTGCGTCTCGCTCCAGAAGATCTAATCTCCTTCAATAATGCACATCACATTCTCATGCAGTCTCCAATTAATCAATCAAACACACCAATGTTCTCTCCCTTACTTAAGCCTACTTCGCATACCACTCTTTGCTCAGTATTGGGTGTCTCCTGTCTGAGCTGCTCTGTCTCCTTGTTGTGTTGGTCTCTTGTTGGTCTCTTGTTGGTCTCTTGTTGGTCTCTTGTTGGTCTCTTGTTGGTCTCT